ATCTCTATACATCATAGATACAATTACAGAACATTGCACTGTCACTCAAAGACTCTGACATACACTGTTACTCACTGACTCATGTTGCACTGTTACTCACTGACTCATGTTACTCACTGACTCATGTTACATTGTCACTCAAAGACTCTGACATATCCATGTTACCAGTACACTGATATTGATTGACACACATGTTGGACCCACTCTTTGACTCAATTTACATTGTTACTCATTGATGGTACATGTTCCTCATTTACTCATGTAACACTGTTAATCACTGACTCATGTTACTCATTGACTCGTGTTACACTGTTACTCATTGACTCATGTTACTCACTGACTCATGTTACAGTGTTACTCATTGACTCATGTTACACTGTTACTCACTGACTCATGTTACACTGTTACTTACTGATTCATGTTACTCACTGACTCATGTTACACTGTTACTCACGGGCTCATGTTACTCACTGACTCATGTTACACTGTTACTCATTGACTCATATTACACTGTTACTCAAAGACTCACGTTCCACTGTTACCCATTGACTCACGTTCAACTGTTACCCATTGACTCACGTTCCACTGTTACTCATTGACTCATGTTACACTGTTACCATTGACTCACGTTCCACGGTAACCCATTGACTCACGTTCCACTGTTACTCATTGACTCACGTTTCACTGTTACCCATTGATTCATGTTACACTGTTACTCATTGACTCATGTTACACTGTTACTCATTGACTCACGTTCCACTGTTAACCATTGACTCACGTTCAACGGTTACCCATTGACTCACATTCAACTGTTTCCCATTGATTAATGTTCCACTGTTACTCATAGACTCACGTTTCACTGCTACCCATAGACTCACGTTCCACTGCTACTCATTGACTCATATTACACTGTTACCCATTGTCTCGCGTACCACTGTTACACATTGACACACGTTCAACTGTTACTAATTGACTCACGTTCAACTGCTACCCATAGATTCACGTTCCACTGTTACCAATTGCCTCACATTCCACTGTTACCCATTGTCTCGCGTACCACTGTTACACATTGACTCACGTGCCACTGTTACCTTTGACTCACATTCAACTGTTTCCCATTGATTAATGTTCCACTGTTACCAATTGCCTCACATTCCACTGTTACACTGTTACTCACTGACTCATGTTACTCACTTCCTCATGTCACACTGTGGCTGACTCATGTCACACTTCTACTCATTGACTCATATTACACTGTTACTCACTGACTCATGTTACTCACTTCCTCATGTCACACTGTTACTGACTCATGTCACACTGTGGCTGACTCATGTCACACTGTGGCTGACTCATGTCACACTTCTACTCATTGACTCATGTTACACTGTTACCATTGACTCACGTTCCACTGCTACCCATAGACTCACGTTCCACTGTTACCCATTGACTCACATTCCACTGTTTTCCATTGATTCATGTTACACTGTTACTCATTGACTCATTTTACACTGTTACTCACTGACTCATGTTACACTGTTACTCACTGATTCATGTTACTCACTGACTCATGTTACACTGTTACTCACTGACTCATGTTACTCACTTACTCATGTCACACTGTTACTGACTCATGTCACACTGTTACTCATTGACTCATGTTACACTGTTACTCAAAGACTCACGTTCCACTGTTACCCATTGACTCACGTTCCACTGTTACCCATTGCATCATGTGCCACTATTACCCATTGACTCACGTTCCACTGTTACCCATTGACTCACATTCCACTGTTACCCATTGATTCATGTTCCACTGTTACCGATTGACTTATGTTACACTGTTACCCATTGACTCACGTTCCACCGTTACTCATTGACTCACGTTCCACTGTTACCCATTGACTCACGTTCCACTGTTAACCATTGACTCACGTACCACTGTTATCATTGACTCACATTCCACTGTTACCCATTGATTCATGTTCCACTGTTACCCATTGACTCATGTTTCACTGTTACCATTGACTCACGTTCCACTGTTACCCATTGACTCACGTTCCACTGTTACCCATTGACTCACGTTCCACTGTTACCCATTGACTCACGTTCCACTGTTACCCATTGACTCACGTTCCACTGTTACCCATTGACTCACGTTCCACTGTTACCCATTGACTCACGTTCCACTGTTACCCATTGACTCACGTTCCACTGTTACCCATTGACTCACGTTCCACTGTTACCCATTGACTCACGTTCCACTGTTACCCATTGACTCACGTTCCACTGTTACCCATTGACTCACGTTCCACTGTTACCCATTGACTCACGTTCCACTGTTACCCATTGACTCACGTGCCACTGTTACCCATTGACTCACGTGCCACTGTTACCATTGACTCACATTCAACTGTTACCCATTGACTCATGTTACACTGTTACCCATTGACTCATGTTACACTGTTACTCACTGACTCATGTTACACTGTTACCCATTGACTCACGTTCCACTGTTACCCATTGACTCACGTTCCACTGTTACCCATTGACTCACGTTCCACTGCTACCCAGGACTCACGTTCCACTGTTAACGTTGACTCACGTTCCACTGTTACGCTGTTAAGTATTGACACATGTAAAAGAAATTCAGTGACTCACAGGCGTTCCACTGTTACTGACACATGTAACACTGCTACTTTTTGACTCATGTTCCCCTTTTCTAGCCTATCTCTGTCTACCCGGTAAAAAAATATTAAACGGAGATACCCAGTTATTTTGAACTATGATGTCCGATGATGCAGAAGACCATTTCACCTTACGATTGACACTTTGACTTGTGACCTTTTAGCACTTTCTAATACTGACATATATGACTACTTAGTTCTGACGTGTTTAATACAACAGACTTGGACATGTTGACAGATAGATGTCTAGTGTGGGACATATATCTGTCAACATGTCTAAGTCTGGTGTCAGAGGAAACTCGGGCTAACCTTTTGGTAGTATATCTCGACCTAACGGCAATACTGTTTGTTCATTTTGCAGGCATGCTCTGTTGCATTGCAAGGTCAGAGAAAAAGGTGCATTATTAGTATTTGACACAAGAGGCGGAACCAGTGGCCTAATGTCTGCTGTATAGTATAGTATATCGATTGGTTAGTGTTTGGGAAGTTGATCTAGTCTACACGAAATACGGCAGTCCGGAAAAACTCGCATCCTCGGCGTTCTCCGAATTAGTTGAATCCATGCTAAAAGCCGCCTGCGCAGATACCACCAAAATAGAGAAGCCATAAGTCGTTTCTAGAAATTGAAAAGTCGTCAGAGAAAAAATTAAAACGAACATTGATGCACTGACTAAACGTCTACAATGTGTAACCATTGCGTTGGCTAAGTGTGGGTATTCACATACGAGGTAATGAACGCAGGGACAATAAATTCAATGCTCGTGCAGATTTTCTTGCTTCGTCTAAGCGTACTTTTATAGACAGCGCGCTCCATTTTAATTTATACCTGAAGATATTTGGAAGTACACAGAATTTGTTTAAAATGTATGCATAGGGCATGTGATTTGCGTGGTATGTCTTAGGGGACGTCCCGTTTTTTGCGGTTTTGATATGGCTAATACTATGAACAAATGTACTACAGAGCGTAATCCGAATTATTCTGACGTTTTATCGACTTTTTTTTATATCGGTCTGTCGTTAATCGACGACAGACCGATATAAAAAAAAAAGTCGATAAAACGTCAGAATAATTCGGACTATACAGAGCGGAGAGGTAATCAGAGAGTATACTGTATCATAATTCACTATTAAAAAAAAAAAAAAAAAAAAACACACACACTCTATAGCTTCAACAACGTGGTGCGACGGGCTAGTGAGTTTGTAGTATTTCGTCTTTCTAGCTGCTTTTTTTATGATGTAATGTAGAGCTATGAACGCAATTTGATCAGCGTCATTTGGAACTTTCTCCTCCCGCTTCTAATATCATGAGACAACCGTCAGAAGCAAACATTTTGCTGACGTTATAGGCTGTTTCAAAGATTTCGGTTTCACTGACCGACACAGACACTTCAATAAATTCTATAGTTTGGTCATTATTAACTAAAACTTAAGAACGTTAATAGAGGAATTTATCAGTATTTTTCCAATGTTCGTACGGGCCTAAAATTGGAAAAGAAATGTCGTCAAATCCTTATATGAAATATATGTCATGAATAAAACAGATAATGTGGGATATGCTTTTACCATATTTTGAAGGATTTTTTTTGCACGTAGCTGCTATGCGAAATTTGTAAAAGGAGTTCTCTATGAATCAATCCTGGGCACACTAACTGTTCTGTCATAGTAATGGTTCATTTTCTCATTTTCCTGTTACACTCTTTTATATTCACACACGTTTTACCAAGTAATGAAAGAAACTCACGAAAAAAAGGTCTTAAATAAATTGATGAAATGATTTGACTCTTATTTTTTCAGGAGAAACAAATATTAAAAGAGAAGAATCAGTTAATTAAGTAATTGTAGTGAAAATCAATTTATTATCTTTTTAATTTGTCACATAGCATACTTGGAATATAAAGAGCTTTATTCAAGGTAAAAAAATGAGGAGACAAAATATAATTTGAAGTCTTTTTACTTCCAAAATTTAGACGAAAATACTATTTTTATCCTTTGTGCAATTGCAACCATTCATAGATTTATGATTACCTTTGAAAGATATTGTATGTAATGAATTTGTTCTGCTTTCGATCAAAATGATAACTTGAATTTCCCCCAAAAATACACATTACGTAAAATGTATATATATGTTTGATAAAAAAAAATGTTTTTATTGTATAGTGATAAACCGCAACAATATGATAAGCGTGTTTTCCTGAATGGTTCTTTGAAATGTGTTAGCATAGTAAGTTTAAATTAATTTTGTTAATAAGGTATTGGAGACTTTAACTGTTACATACCTATAACTTCCTATTCGAACTCGCCTTCAGCATAGATAATTTACGCATGCGTACTGCAACTCTACAGCTATAGCCATTTTGTCAAGGACGAAGGCTGAAATTTATACAGATTACACCAGGGGAAAATCCAGTCCGTCTGGAGATATCACTAAAAATGTGGTTTTCTTTAGTTACCTGTTGTTTATTAGCTTTCATCACATTGCCAACCCGTGCTAGTAAGTACTTAATTATGAAGTTCGCCTTGTTTTCTTCTGTAAGTCATTTTAGGGCGATCAGCTGATCTTGGTATACTGTATTTTCCATACAACAATCTGAGTTCACCTCGAGGCTAGTATTGTGTTTATCGGTTATAAATTATCCTTAAGGTGGCGTCAGACATTCAATGCCACGTCTTATTTCCCATTTCCGTGAATATTCTTTTTCGACGTCCACTTTCCTCATTGCTGAAACTATTGCGTATGTCAATCACTTGTTAATTGTGTATAGACCAGGTCCAGTACACTCTGCCGATTGAGCTATATAGCTGTAAAGACCTATAATAGCTCTATTGACCTATCTGAAATAGGTCTTTTGAGCTATTTACAAGTGATTTTCTTTTTTAAGGAAAACGGAACAAAGTCGCATTTAAAAGAAGATTGTATCATTAAGTTGATAACAAAAGTCATTAAATATAAGTATTCTTTTTAAAAAATAATGATGTAAAGAAATCGGAAATTTTACATTTATGAAAAATGAAAATAAACATCTAACTGTATGCTTTTTGTAGTCAACATTACCATTAACCTTATTGTTTTATGCGACTTTGCTTTAATTTAATGAAATTTGAAATCTGAGAAAATATAGCTCAATACAGCTATAATTTATAGGTGTATATAGCTATATAGGTCTTTATAGCTATATAGCTCAATCGGCAGAGTGTACTGGACCTGTAGACTAACCACAAGGGTTCGTTACAAATGTCTATGTGTGCTGTGACCCATATCAGTATAGCATATGTGTATTTGGAACGAACACCTGTGGACTAACAATAGACTGATAGAGTAGCATGCGTTATCGATAAGAAATTTTCATGCTCATCAATTAGGCACAGATGTCTGATTTCTTTTATCTTTTAACATATAATGATATACAAGAATGAGTATAAAAATATTCTACTTTACTGCTGTAAATAAATTGAGTCTGAAAACAAAACTTCAAGATTAATCGAAACTGGTTTGTTGCTGGATAGTGGAGTAGTGGATAACAATTCTAAGAATGCCTGTTATTTGGTATTTGTTAAATACAAATGTAGTACATGGAACTTAATTTCATCATGATTTCAAAAACTTTCTTTATTTTCTCTACAGATGAAGAGCCCAAAATTGAAATACTTCCAACCACAGACCCCCTCAAGGTTCTAGAGGGTGGCAAGCTTGAAATAACATGTAAATATTCCACCAAGGCAGCAAATTACCAGCCTAACTCCTTGATCATCAAGAGATCTGTTGAGCGACAAGGAAACATAGCGAATGCAGTAAAACTGATGAATCTGGGATTCGAGACGCATCGTTCTACCAGTCCATCAGCTACTGCGTCGGATTGGACTGTCATCACTCTGAAAGTCACGAAAACTGGACCCCAGCTCACAATCCAAGACACAGGCCGTTATTACTGTATTTATGAGGAGGTTTACAAATTCTTCCAAAAAGATGTGGACATCTTCAGAGGTAATTTTTTTTTTCGTTTCGCAATAAAATAATTTGTATGAAACTTATACCAAGTGAGGTACATTTTAGTGCTGCCATGCTATATTTTTATTATGTATAATAAATAACATGAATTAATTGATAAGGCCAAATAAAAATATAATAATGTTGGACATCTACTACTACTTCTAAGTCATTACAAGTCATTACATGTGCAGACTTACATGTATGATATGAAATTGTTACGGATTAGAAGAAGAATTAAAACTTAATCCATTATTGATTAAACGAAATTTGTTTGTCTATCTACAGTGTCCACACCTTCTAAAGTCGTGTTCAATGAGACGAGCAGCAAGCTGAGCTGTGTTCCGGAATTCAGCACTGAGACAACTGTCAGGGATTACACACTGTCCTGGAACAAGAATGGCACAGGAACGCTGGACGATACTTTGAAAGACAGATATGCACTGGAGGGGGATATGAAGGAAATTCTTGCTATCACAAAACCTGGTAAGACTACGTTTCTCCTTGACAGTGAATTCTAAACTATAATTTATATTAACAGATCAAACAGCATGTGGTGTTTACAAGTATCGTGAATATATATTTACATTGCTGTAGTGTTACATACCACCAAATCTCCTATGTTAAGGGCCTGATCATCTAATCTTTCTTTGATTTTATTTCCCTCGTGCAGTATTATTAAATACATAACAAATTGTGATTAATAGTTCAGAAGTACGTTTATTTAAGTAGTGGTGTACAATTTCATTTCTAGTGTTCTAGCCTTTTTTTTAAAATCAGATTTTGAAAACTTTTACCAGCCCCAGGCATCATGCTAGTGGAATTATACAGCCCTGATATGAATTATTGAAATACAAATATGGTACTTGATCAGATCTAGATATTTCATAGTTAGCCTTTTCAACTGAGAAAAAATAGCTTTTGTGAAAATGAAAGTTCACAATTATAGTTGCTCAAAACTATTTACATGAAGGGAATTCAAAATGATATAAATGGTGTAAATGTTTTTCAGGTTTTTGAATATTTTCAGTAAATATCAGGGGGGGGGGGGTGTCAGCATCAGATGGAGACACAAACACTTACATCACAGATTAGACTCCCCCCACCTATCCTACAGACAGTCACACTAATCAACAGATGCAACCTATATCACAAGCTTGTTCCACAATTATCTACGGATACTTGGCTACTATCTTCAAATAAAACATTGACACTGACTATGAGCAAAGGCTATTCAATTTATAGCAAATATTGCAATTACCGGGGAACACAGCTACATATTTGTTTCGGCCTTAGAAAACTGTAACAACTCCTAAAAGAAGAAGTGTGACGATAGCTGGTCTTAACTTACTTTGATATGAAATAGCCATGAAAGATATTATTCAAATTTTGTGGCAGCCCAGGCCTGTAACTGAGGATATAAAAGGAATGTGGCCCACAGGAGAAATGAACACTCAACTGAAACCAGAAGAATGGGATGACAAATTATTGAATTTTCTGGTGTCCTTTATTTTCATTAATGGTTTGTGTATTTCATTTGAATACATATTATGACAGTGATAAGTAAAAACCAGGTGATTATTTGTGAGTTATATTACATCTAGAGGCCTCTTCTTTACTCTCTACTTCTAACTGCAATATCATATTTTTACTGGTCAACTTTTCAGGTCGCAGTAGGTAATCTGTATGTTTCTGTATTAGATTTGTTTATTTCCTGATTTTTTTTCACCTTTCTAATTGAGATTTTAAGCTTAAGACTCCAAAACATGGACCCCCACTCTGGACAAGATGTGCTCCCCCAACCACCCGAATCCTAGGATATAATGTTATCTCCCAAATATCTTATGTGACACCTGTACTCCAGGATCTAATATCAACCCCGGTCACATGAAGACCTGTTGTGATCCCCGCGGTCACTCAAGTATCTATTATGATCCCTGCAGNCCCCCCTAGTCACTCCATGGCCAGGCTCTAAATTAATGCATTTTGTAATCCCCCAACCCAAGAATCTACCTTGTGGTAAATATAATGAGGGAGCTTTGACAGTTTACAAGTGTTGTTAAAAAGTTTGTCAAAATTTATTGATGTTTTTATTTGTGTTGTTCATTTTTGCATGACGCATGTGTTGTCACGAGTTCCTATCAGCTAGATGTTTAGAAACAGAACCTTGAGGATAAAAAATATTGTAATTTGATTTCACAGGAAAGTAAATATAAACCATTATTGTAGCTAACTATAATTATAACCTTCAGGTTTGTGTACTAACATTGATCAGTCATTTGTTCTCATGGTACGTACTAATCCATATTGAATTGCACTATAAATGTTGCAGCAACATGCAAGCTGGTCAAGCAATCAGGATTGGAGTTAATCTTGCATCCAATTAATAACATTTAATTAAATTGAAAATTATAAACTATATATACATATACACTTTTGTAGTGGTCATGACTTTTATGCAGGAATTTCCCATTGACCAACAGTGTCCTTTTTTTTTTAAATTTGACAAGGTGATAAACCAATATTTAGATGTGCAATAGGGGGTTTGAAAAGAATCAAGTTCAAAATAAAGAACAATTCATTTTTATTATTAAAAATTGACCCTGGGCAGAGGTTTTAGTCAGTAACATGGTGTAGGCCCTGGCCTTGCTGACCTGTCAGTGTTCGTTTTATAATGTCAGTAACATGGTGTAGGCCCTGGCCTTGCTGACAGTAACATGGTGTAGGCCCTGGCCTTGTTGACAGTAACATGGGGTAGGCCCCTGGCCTTGCTGTCAGTAACATGGCGTTGGCCCTGGCTTTGCTGACAGTAACATGGTGTAGGCCCTTGCCTTGCTGACCTGTCAGTTGTTCGGTTTATAATGTCAGTAACATGGTGTAGGCCCTGGCCTTGCTGTTAGTAACATGGTGTAGGCCCTGGTCTTGCTGACAGTAACATGGTGAAGGCCCTGGCCTTGCTGACAGTAACATGGTGTAGGCCCTGGCCTTGCTGTTAGTAACATTATGTAGACCCTGGCCTTTGTGAATGTAACATGGTGTAGGCCCTGGCCTTGCTGACAGTAACATGGTGAAGGCCCTGGCCTTGCTGACAGTAACATGGTGTAGGCCCTGGCCTTGCTGGTAGTAACATTATGTAGGCCCTGGCCTTTGTGAATGTAACATGGTGTAGGCCCTGGCCTTGCTGACAGTAACATGGTGAAGGCCCTGGCCTTGCTGACAGTAACATGGTGTAGTCCCTGGCCTTGCTGACCTGTCAGTAACATGGCGTAGGCCAATGGCCTTGCTGTCAGTAACATGGCGTAGGCCCTGGCCTTGCTGACAGTAACATGGTGTAGGCACTGGCCTTGCTGACAGTAACATTGTGTAGTCCCTGTCCTTGCTGACCTGTCAGTAACATGGGGTAGGCACATGGCCTTGCTGACAGTAACATGGTGAATGCCCTGGCCTTGCTGACAGTACCATGGTGTAGGCCCTGGCCTTGTTGACAGTAACATGGTGTAGGCACTGGCCTTGCTGACAGTAACATGGTGTAGGCCCTGGCCTTGCTGACCTGTCAGTAGCATTGCGTAGGCACATGGCCTTGCAGCTGTCAGTAACATGGAGTAGGCCCTGGCCTTGCTGACAGTAACATGGTGTAGGCCCTGGCCTTGCTGTCAGTAACATGGTGTAGGCCCTGGCCTTGCTGTCAGTAACATGGTGTAGGCCATGGCTTTGCCGACAGTAACATGGCGTAGGCACATGGCCTTGCTGACAGTAACATGGTGTAGGCCCTGGCTTTGCTGACAGTAACATGGTGTAGGCCCTGGCCTTGCTGACAGTAACATGGTTTAGGCCCTGGCCTTGCTGACAGTAACATGGTGTAGGCCCAAACCTTGCTGACCTGTCAAGTGTTCGTTTTATAAATGACAGTTGTTAGTTCTGATTGTTAAACTGTTTTCAATACTCCATACATTATTGGAAGAGTCTTTAATTAGACATAAGTTAAGGGAAAAAAGACTTGTGATGTTATGTTAAAAGTTCTTTCACTTTGATAACCAGTCTACCATGCATTTTTCTCATGAATATCAATTAAAAGTATTACCCTACCTGACCAAATACTTACAGCCTGATCACAGTACACTTACACACAACATTGAACTATTCAACTCTAACAGTCATTATAATAACCCAGTCATTTAGGGTAAGCTAGTTTACAGCTATTGGGTGTATGGTATGCATGGTTAGTTGTGGTTGTATTTGCCGATAAAGATGTGCACAACAAGCTAAATTTACTCTTCATTGACACATTTAACACACAATACAGGCACATATTTAACATATATTAATATACATTTATACTCAAGTTCAGTGACATCACAGGGGTATATACAATTACACTCGCGCGATGCCTGGGGCTGGTAGATTTTATGTCATCACTTTTGAAAGTTTTCAATATTTACTTTGAAGATATGGAGTGACTTTGTACACCTCCTCTTTGCATAAACATGATATCAAACTGTTCAGCATATATCATGATATAAATAAAGTTACTATAGCTGTTAAAGGATAAGTACATTACATAGACTGAACGGTTACATTTGAGTGAAATGTGATATAGAGCAAGTGATACAGTGAAATTAGATATAATGAAATGTTAAATGGAATTGCCAAAAGTTTCAGATATTTCAACTGAATATTGAACATTAAGGTATTTTATATATAAAATAAGCTCAGAAGACAAGAAATTACTTAGAAATGTGTATGTTCCTATTTCAAAGTATTCTCTGGGAGGAATCTGGTCCCTAGAGTTTTAACGAATCAAAGTTTTTGAAATTGTTAATCAATCAGCTAATTTCAACTTCTGTTTAACAATAGCGTATATGTTTCAATAAATAGACTGAAAGTTGATAAATATGGACAAGTGACTTACTTAATTTGACTTACATGTATAATTGTTATATATTTTGATCGTTCAATGTTGGTAGCTAAGTCATGTGTATATATATATATATATATGTGTCATCATCGTGTGTATACAGAAAGCATCTTGTATTCTATATCCTGAACATACAAAGTACAGCTTTACTTAAGCTTGTACAAAATGTATAAGTTTATTAAGTTACTAACAGTAGGGGTCAAATTTCAATGATAGGACTGGAGCCATGGACCTATAGCTATTGTACAGTGATCTGTCGGGCGTGATACATCTGCTGTTTCCACTGTGTATAATTTATGTGTGTACATTGATGTTATAAACTAGTTAGAACTTAGAGACCCTTGAACTTTATACCTTTGTCATAGTATTTAAATAATTTTGTTCACAAAGACTTTAGAATTATGTATGGTTAGCTTGTAAGTAGTCTTTATTTAACTGACTAAGTTTGCTTTAAGGCAAAAATCTACAACCTGTCTTTAATAATAATTCGTACTGTATTGCTAATTGGATATAAATTCACTGCCATACTGTATTCGTAAGGTCCTTCTCTCATCAATATAGCTACTAGCCG